GGGGGGGGGGGGCGAAAAAAAATTTCTGCCCCGGGCGCCCAGAACTCTGGTTACGCCACTGCACTGATGTAATACATAGCACTTCAACCATCAGTATCCACCAGAAAGGTGTCAGGGAGCTTGGCTCAGCAGACTCGGGCTAATAGGTAATCATGTGGGCACAGCTAAATAAATATACCAAAATGGAACAAAGGGGCCGCCATTCACACCCTTCCTGATCTACCAGCACCAGCTTTGAGAGCTACTGGTAGATCACGATCTACCTAATGGGCACCCCTGTTGTAGACAACCTAGATGAAACAAAGTAAAAACATATGGCCAATATGATGTCTCTTATGTTGTTCTTGCTGATCAGAACAATCATGCATTGTAACGTCAGCAAAAGGCAGAATCTGTAGATTTTATATTCATGTTCCAGGTCAGTAAAACAAAAACTACTTAAAGGAGAACTATGAGGCTGAGTGACTTTCACTCGCCTCATAATCGACTGTCGCACGTCGGCTCAATATATTGGGAGGTGAGCGAACACATACCGTTGCTCGCTTCTCAAACCTGTGCCTGCAGAGAGCAGTGACTGTCACTCACGGCTCCCTGCAGGGATTCCCCTGTCCGACCCTCCTGCGCTGACTGGCGGAACGGACGGGGGAGGGTGAGGGTACAGCTGGCTCTGCCTTTAGATAGGCAGAGCCAGCTGTAAGACAAGACACAGAGAGCGCCTCCATCGCATAAAAACTTTTTAATAAACAAATAAGAAAACGGAATAAAGGTACTCACAAAAGTCGAGTAAAAACAGGCATATAAGGGTCAGAACGAGAGGTGCAAATCCAATGGCTTCCCTGGTAGTGAAGTGGTTTACGCGTTTCAGAGGTCACACCTCCTTCCTCAGAACCAGTCACTCATGCAGCTGGGTGGATCCCGACAGTATTGTCCAGACTGCGGCGTCTCAGTATACCGCGAGCTGTAGCTCGCGGTTATACTGAGCTTTGGGTGACGGTAGGACGCTAGTTTGTGTCCTCCCGTTACCCTAAGGAGAACTATGGGGAAAAGCACTGACCCCATAGTTCTCCTTTAACTCAAAGAATCGGCATAACAGGCAAACTTAGCTGGTAGAAGGTGGTAGTAGGCTACCATTGAGGCCATCCGTGGTAGCCTACTTCTATCAACTATAAATTTCCCGAGAAAGGAGTTTGATGCCATCTAAATAACAAGTATCTATTCTAAACCCAAGAGCAAGCTTTTAATATATTGCAGCTCACCAGTCCTTACATGTGTTGGCTTTGTTTTGTTTTATTCAGCTTTGTCTTTACCTGGTGATCCTGCCGGTGACACACTTCCTGCGCAAGGGTGACAACGCTCACTCACTGTACTGTAACTAAATAGGTGCACTGGCAAACAAAACAACAATCACAATTTGTTCCTTGCTAAATAACTAAAAAAAAAAAATCAAAATACATTTTTTGGTTATTTAGCGTGGCACAAATTGTAATTTTTTTTGTTTGCCTGTGCTCGTCAGGTGTTGCAGTTATTGGCGTGAGATATAATTTGTACTTTTTTTGATATAGGAGCACTGTTGTCCCCCTAGGACAAGAAGTTTGTTAGGACTACAGTGCATCTCACCCTCTTCTCATCTGTATAACATAGGGGGAAGGTTTTTTTGTAGTCCACAGAAGTAACCTAGGCATGCCTGACAACACTATTTGAGATAAGACTGCAGAGTGCACAGGAAAAAGGACAGCACTGGATTTCTGGCAGGATCCGCAGAAATGTTTGTGCACTTATGGCATAGATATAAAAAAAACTTTCAATAGTATATTTAACAGACCAAAAGGGAGTAATTGGGAGAAGTTTATTGTTGGGGTTTACATACACTTTCAAGTACTGTATGAAGTACAAATAAAAGGTTATTGACCTAGGCGTAGAAAGAGAATACATTTGTACTATTCTGTCATCGGTTAGCAAACATAAAAACAGATGAGTGAAGCACCAAACACTAGATGCCAAGGGAAATCTTTGTTTTGACCTGCATAGTACCTGCATTGTGGTTGAAAACCTGCTGCTTCTGTAAGCCCTGACTGTACGACGTTACAGAAAATGAAATGTGTACAGTGGCATAAACCTTGTTATGTAAAAAGGCGGTGGTTCATGTGCAGTGTCCAAGCATTCTTGAGTAATTGATTACATGCCTAAACAATGACTATTACTCTTCTTGTATTTGCATAGAAACAAATGAAATGAGCAGGAGGGGAAGACAGAGGGGGCTATTGATAACGATTGGTGAAATATTGCTTTTCTTCTTTCTAAACTGCACAATTTTGGAAAGAAAAATCTTGTTTTTCACGAGTCCATATGGACATTTTAACTCTAGGATTTGTGATGGCAAAATGATGTGAAAAGCAAACAAAAACTGTGCAAGAATGGGGCAAATAAAAAAAAAATACACACTCTTAAGGGAAAGATCCTTCTCGGACATACCTCCATTTAAAATGAAACATGAAAATTTTAGAATGGCTTAAAGCCCACTTGCAGCCAAAATATGTTATTTAGTTTTGGATAGAGAAGGGAAGAGTTCGGTTCTAAATCGTGTCTGTGTCCCAGTTGGGGCTTTGCCTCCCTAAAGAAGGAACCAGATAGGGTTCCAAAACGTTGCCATACACAGTGAGACCACCTTGATAATGCCAATAAAAAAGATTTAACAGAAGGAATGTTTGGAGTGCCTGTGGTTTCTACTGTTTCTTACCAGTTGGGGAGATATTCTCTCACTTGCTACCAAGACAGGAAGTGATGGTGAATCATCTCTCCCGACAGAAAAACATTTTGCTTTCCTGCCTGGGTGATCTAAGTCCCAACCCCATTTCTTGTCCTGTTGTCGAAGGGACAGAAAGAAAGAGAATGTCTCCCCATATAGTACCATAAATAGAACTTGACAGAAATTTGAATTTCCCCCATTTTGGAAACTAAAAACAAAGGCTTCAATAAGGTTGATGTCACACTGTTAATCTTGATGATGGCGACAAATTGCCAGCGTCAGAGTTGCTAACAGACTGCCTGACGGTCTCTGCTAGCAGGACTCCCTCACTAGCAGGACCAGCAAGATGTAGCTTCCTCGCTGCCCTGTCTCTAGTGATGGAGATTCAGCAGCATTCAGGGCCAGCAAGGGTAAGTGGAAGGTTCGCCCATGTGACATAAGCTTTAGAGGGTATCTAAAGCCCATACGCTTCTTTCTTTTTTTTGGGGGGGGGCTAGACTAGGGAAAGTGTAAGATCCCTGTCTTTGCGGCCCATTAATGGTCAATTAGTTTTTTTGTGTTTTTATTCTTTGGGAAAATTAAACAAGGAATTTGATTGGTCATTATGGGCACCAACTCACTTCTGTTCCCATTTCCTATTGTCAAGCATTTTTTTTTAATAGCCACCATAGATGTTGCTAGATATGCAGTTTTGTCAAATTCCATACCTGCTCTCCATAGCAAGACCTGTCTCTATTTTTAGTGTAGTATGGAAGTCCCTTCAGACTGTTCCTTCAGATTTCTCTCCTTCTAAGGTTTATTACTGCCAGACAAAATGTAAAGAGTTCTTGTTCCGCTAGCTAAAAGCATTTGTAGGTATGATACTAACTGAAAACATTTTTCCTCTTGAAGGTATCATGAAGGATAAGGAGAGAAAACTGGAAGATGAAATGGCCGGATCTCGTCCTCACTGTGCATTTCTAGGATCACTTCTTTGGGAGCGCAATTTGCCATACAATGAGATAGAATATGTTGACCTTGATGAATTCCTGTTGGAAAATGGCCTCCCACCAAGCCCACCTCACCAGCCTTTTTCACCAGCTAACTTGACACCACCTCCATCTAACCAGTCAGTCGTGGACCTCAGCCGACCTGCATCCTGCGCCTCTTCTACCTCTGCTTGCTCCTCTCCTGAGCAAAGTATGATTGGCAGTGAATTTGACCATCCAAACAGCAAAGCAGGTATCTAATTTGTAACAGCATAAAAACTAAGCTATATTTGTTAAAGTGTATGTAAAGCCTAAGCTTTTTTTGTTAGGTTGGATAAAGTAAGTGTTAAATTCCTTGTCAGGATTTTACTGCTGTCTTGGTCCCATTGGAAATTCACTCTCTGTCCTGGTGACTATTGTCTATGATGCAGAAAGTGATGGGAAATCCAAAATTATCGAGGGGCAGGAGGTAAGGGGAAATCTTTCAATGGGCACACCTGTTGGTAAAACCTTTCAATGAGAGGCACTGCCCTGACTATGAAGAGATTTCTTCTTAACTTCCTGTTGTGTCTCTTGGACATAAAGTGAAGGGACATTTATTGGAAAGGACAGCAAAAATAAAATCAAGAAGAAAAAAACTTGACAGTTCTTGACAGTCTTAAGCACTCTATCCAAAACTAAACAGAAACATGTTTGGATTCACATACAGTCTTGTGAAAATTAAAGTACACCCCATGTAAATTGATGAATTTAGCATGTATGGATAGACAAACATTAGACCTTCATTCAAAGAGTGCCTACAGATAAAAGGTGATATACTTCAATAAGAACACAAAAAACATTTGCCTTTTCAATAATTTATTCAGCATAAATATCAGATATAATGTGTACTGTGGAAAAAGTAAGTTCACCCTTGGCATCAAAAGCTGATAGTGCCCCCTGTAGCAGAAATTACTTGTATGCATTTTGTATAACTGCCCACCAGTCTTGAAATCAACTTGTAATGTTTGACCACTTCTCCTTGCAAAATTCCTTCAGTTGTAAGGTGGTTTTGGATTTGCTTGCATGAGCTGCCTGTTTCAAAATTTTGGTCATGAAATAGTGGTTATGAAATTATGACTTTTAACAATAGCAGTCGATAAATCTATTATTTTTTGAGCCATTCTTTAGGGGATTTGCTAGTGTGCTTCAGATCAGTTTGTTAAAAGAATTTGCAGTTCATCTTCAACTTTTGGGCAGATGGCACACTTATGATGCAGAATGTATCATTGATTTTGATGACTGCAAGCTGTCCAAGCCCCGAAGCAGCAAAGCAATCCGAAACCACATTTCCACCACCATGCTTTACAGTTGTTATAAGGTTTTCAGCAAACATGTCTGCTGTCACTGTGACCAAACAACTGTATCTTTGATCATTCTCCAGTACTTTGTTCCAGAAGGCCTAATCTTTGCTTGTATATTCAATGACAAACTAATATTTTTGTAATATTCTTCTTGAACAACCAACGGCTTTTTCTTAACACACCTCTCATACAGGTGAAATTGTTGCAACCGCTTTCTGATTGTGGATGGATGCATTTGACCTTAACTGTTGTCGGAGTTACCTGAACACCCCGTGGCAAAATTCTGAGCTTCTTGGAGTCTTCCCTTAGCATCAAATTGTCAGCTCTTGAGCTGAATTTGCTAGGCCAGCCAGTCCAGGAAAAAAAATTAGTTGTATGACATCTAGGGCTGCAGCTAACGATTATTTTCATAATGTATTATTTGCCCGATTTATTTTTTCAACTAATCGATTGGTTACATTAAAAAAAAAAAAAAAAACTATTTTCATCGATTCGTTGTTGCAGCCCTATTGAAATCTATGCCTCGTTTAGATTACAGAATGCCAGATCCTAGATATCTGATATTTATATAAGACAGGTTCCACCTGCACGCCCTGAAAGGAGGTTCTAATATTTGGCACCCAATCTGGAATGCCGATTCTAATGTCATGAATTTGAAGTGGTGGTAAATGTAGGGGTGTACTTACTTTTTCCATATGGCATTTTCATGAATTATTTAGATCATTAAAAGAAATAAACCCATTCGATTTTGTGTGTCATCTGTTCAAGCGTATCCCCTTTATATGTGGGCACTATTTAAATCAAGAGCTAACATTTACTTGTGTTTTAAATATGTTGAAAAAGTCAACAATTTGCAATGAGTGTGCTTTTGATTTTTACATGACTGTACACTTTAATAGGTGCTATGTATGAAATCTATGCTATATCTCTATATATGTACATATTATTACCAGTTAGGATGTACAGGTTTTTTTGGTTGGTCCTATCTGTCTGCCCATTCCCCACCTGTGCTGCAGTGACTATTCCGTTTGATAAAGGAGCCAGGATGCTTGCAGTACACATAGGACCATAGTGAGGAAAGGCAGAAGCCACAAGTGGAGACATTCCACAACCGATACAATTTAGTTTGCTTCTGCTTTGCACAGGTGCCAAAGATATGGCACAGTGTTGGCAGTAATGCTTTACATACAAGTCATATTGCACAATTGATAAACGGCGTCAAGATTTTGTTATTTTTTAATAAACGTCAATTTTACTTTACAACCTCTCCCTAGTTACATATTTAGGCTGAAAAAAACCCATCTATATCCACATTGTTCAACCTAAAAAAAAATACCCAGAAGCACATAGTAAAAATACCCTTCTAAAGCATGGTCCATTTTACTATAACAAGGAAAATACCCCTTCCTGACCTCTGTCAGTAAGATAAATCCCTGGATCAACTATCTATTATGTATTTATAGAAATGCAGGTAATCATTTTTACTGTGCTTTAAATGGAACACATAGAGCTGGATTGCTAAGTGCAAGGTATTCTTTTGGACCAAAGAGGGCTCTTAAAACCCCACTATGGGTGTTACATGTCCTGCTCATTGACCTCTTCAGCTCAGGCTTTGACCTTGATTGGTAAGAATTGTTCAATGCTTGAGAAACCTAGGACCATGTGTATGGACCCCAGGCTTGACAAAGCCATTGTGCTTTTGATATGTTGCCATGTTCCTTTTTTAGGACTTTGAATCTTTTTCTACTGCTGAGGTTTAATCATTAGGCAATTTTAAAAAGCTGTGTGTTAAATTAAAATGTTAGATGTCCGTTGTACAGATCACTTTGCTGCAGAAAAAGATTGTTGGTAGCTTGGATAGTGTTAACATGTTGGTGGTCATTGGATGAGGCGATTCCTAGATGAAGGTGGTGTGCGTTCTATTCTTCAGTGGATCTATGAACTTGGTGATGAGCATGGAGCCGTCTTCCCGGCTAATCAGGAAGCAGGGTGGCCATTACACGCCCCCGGCTTCCTTAATGGGACTTCTGGTATCGGTGTTCGGTATCGGCAAGTAGCGGGAAAAAAATATCGGTACTAGATACTGAAAAATCTGTATCGGTGCATACCTACTCTATACCAAGGCCTTTCAGTTCTGAGAATTTATGTGCAGCATTGACACCATTAGTGGTTTTGTATGTTATGTACCAGTATATATTTTATGAGATTAGTTTGTGATCAGGTTTCATTTTTAACGACAACGTCAACAGTTTTATAACTTTTCTAGTGTGTCGCAATCATGTATACTGGTATAATGGTTGCTTATATTTGTTAGCGCACACTTTTTATATCTGGGATTTGTTGTATTCCTCTATGGTGGTATTCTGCATTCATTGCTGTATAATTTTACACTTTCCATTTCACTATATTGCACACCACACTATCTTTTTTCTTTTTTACTTCCACCGCTCCAAGCTTGCTCCTGTGATGGACTACAACCTCAATACAAACTAGTAGTCCCATCACTGGAGCCTTTTTTTGAACTCTATTTTATGGTTTATCCAATTAACCGATTAATCGAACCTAATAATCGACTAACTAATCGATTTTGAAAATAATCGTTAGCTGCAGCTCTACACAAATTTAGTGTGGAACATGGTTACATTCCCCTGTCCCGCGCCCTTACAGGAAGGAGGAGAGACTAAAAGTCCCATCTGCCACCACAGCAGTAGGACTAGCAGACCTCAGTGGGAGCACCAGTGCAGCGGTGTGGCTGCACTTAGTCTATTGATTACGTCCTCCATTGCCAAAGGTTTGGGATGCATACAATGCAGGAACCTGTACATTGCACCCACTAAGCACATATTGTGGTTTCAATGCTTTGTAAACTCTAATGCAAAAAATTTATAAATGCACATTTTTCTTTTATCAGTGTTTGTTTAATCATTTTTTGCAAAAGGTGAACTATGAGCTTAAAGCTTGATATTAAGTTATGGCATTTGAAGGCTGCCACTGCTGACCTCCTACTAAAAAATGTTAGTTTCCCAGCTGCCTCTGGCTTTAATACTTAAGTCACTGCCCCAGAAGTAGCATGCAGATTTGAAAGTCAGAACTCCTAGTCTGCATACTTGTTCCAGGTCAGTGCCTAAGAAAATATTAAAGCTAATGGATCAGTGTGACAGCCAGGCAAGTAGCATTTGGCCTCCATATACTCTCAGGCCAAGTTTCCTTTTAATAGTCTTAAATAAAAAGACCTGAGCACTATAAGTACACATTTGTGTATTATTATTATTATTATTATTATTATATATAATGAGTAAGCTCATCTCTTGAGTTTTCAGCTATAAGAGAAAGCAGTTT